GTATGTATAGATATACCTTGAGTTGAGACATACGAAGGCATAGACGGCAAACACCAGGCAGGTCAGGAAAGGATGCTCCCATGTCACCACCGCCGCTGTGTTCTTGCAGAAATCCACCACGGGTGTCAGCAGTGCGGCAGTGCGCATGCCATGCTTGTAGCACCTATTTACATTCTAACAGCAATAGTGACATGATGTGCATGAAAACATATATCCCGTACATACTGTCAGAAGTAAATACATTGACCCGCTAGAAGTAGAAATAAAACTAATAAAAAAGCCTGACGGACTAAAGCCTATAGGACAAATTATGGAACAAGAACCGAATTATGACGCGTATGTGCAGGAAGACATCGAACATACAAAAGGTTCGGGCTCGGGGATCTCCTTCTCCAGAAAGTGGGCGAGATATTCACCGAGATGGGAGAACTTGTATTGTAGACGCACTCTGATGCGACCCAATGAAGCCTTCTGGGCCTTCCTGGGAACAGGCGAACAACTATAGTTTAGTACTTTTATTAAATGATTATTTTATTCAAGATACCTGAGCACAGTCAGATAAGCGTATGGAAGGCTCTGTATACCCCCAACATAAAACAACCGAGTACATGATAGGCCTTTCATCCCTAGTAGGGTCGCAACACGACTTACTCGGTGCGAAGATCACTAGGCTCGGGATGCAGGTCAAACCACAGATCGTGCAGCTCTTGATTCCGTAGCATCTCGATGGGCACATGGACCTCACCGATGTGATCGTCCTTTGAAGCCGTGTCATAGTCGTACACTGAATACGTGATACACAAGCGACTGCTGGCATTAGCATATGGATTATAGACAAACGCTCACATCATTTCAACAGTAGAAAAATAATGGGTCTGAATTGTATCCTTGCTAGAGAACTTTAACATGAACTACATAACGCCGGTATGCCCGCTATATTGGATGCCATACGGCACGCAAAGCTTAGGACATCTGTTCGACTAGAGGATATCGCACGTATCTCCCTCTCGAGGCAAACATCGCTCTCGTCTTACCTTTTAAAGTCAGTATCGCTCTGGGCCGCCACACGTTCATCACAAACTCTTCGTCCCAGTTAGGGTTGAGTGTGGCATTGATCTTGTGAGTTTTCGCGATTTCTTTCTCAATTGCTCCGACCTCTATCTGGCAGTAAGGATCTGAGCTTGGTTTCGAGAACATTGCATAGTCTGAGGCCATAAGTCCACTCGCTCCAATCTGAGAACCCAAGTACGCTATGTTTCAGAAACAATGTTTGATGGCATCGAGAAAATAGGCCATAAATGACCTCTCGTTGCAATAGAGAGTATCATAAAAGAGCGCGCCAGTAACTACTACAATATAGAACATCACCGGTCATACACATACCACGTGTACGTATAGACGCCCGAATGGCAATCGCTTGCCGCCCTCCAATTGGTCTGCCGTCTCCGTCCAGGGATTGAATAGGTATATCCACAACGGCAGCATTTTGACCTGATAATCAAATTTCGATGCGACACAAATGATCATTAATATGGACATCTATACACTAGATATATGACACATCAGCTAAAACTGGGAGACCCCTGATACTCAGAGAAGCGATCTCTAACTGGACAGGAATTTTATCTAACTATCAAAATCACGTACTAAAATCGACCTCCCGAATGCTCGTAAAGCTCAAAACTCTACAAAGCCTGGTACTCAGTGAGATGATCATTCAATTAACTAAATAATACCTGCACATCAAAATCGGGTACTGAAGTCGTGGACCCTTTCCGTCGAGATTCACTCGCGTCCGTGATCTTCGCTACTCAACTCGGATGTGAGATACAATGCAATGTATAGTTTTACTTGTGATACACGACTCGTTGGAAGTCTGTAGGAAAATAAGAGGAACAAATGAAACCGCATACAGAACTATTGATTACTTTGTCAATTGTCAGAAAAATTGCAATACGACAACCATACACGTTCGTGGCCATACCAGAGGTTCGTTGCATGGCTTTAACCGTGTCTGTGTCCATCTGTGGCATAAGAAAGTCCCCTAAAAGAGGTTCTATGGCATTCGGACTAGGTAATTCTTCTAACAATAAGCTGGGAACATGATGTGAATATGAATCGCGTGTTGTGATTTTGATAGTGAAAATCATCAAGCAAAATGAAATTAGACAAATAAATTATCGGGTCATGTACCTTTAGCCAATCAAATAAAAACTGCAGTGGTAAAAACTCAAGCTAAGTGTGGCAGTATGGTTGCTCATATATATATATATATATAAATATATGTACGTATAAATTCATATGCATGAAT